GCGGAAAATCTAGTTCCGTCTATTTGCGCGGAAATTTGACTTCTTTTTTGACTACCTATCATAAAGATAGGTTATATTTTGTAACGGGTTATCAATATTGTATTAGGACTCTTTGTGGAAATTGTGTAATGTTTTGCAGGAGATCCCTGGCACTGTAGAATTGTATGCATCCGTGATTGGCACCTTGTCATCCACTTTTAATTTTCATAATTTTAAATTCTCTAGGCCATTTAAAGTAGTCATCAACTCGATGCCAATCCATATACCTGGCATAAAACATCGTAATTTGCAACATGTTTTAACAAGTAATGTTCTAAAGCACCAAGCAAAAAATAAACAAAGGAACAAACAGGTTGATTATACGTGCAGAACTGATCTGCTGAGGTCCTGAAACAGGTGCGCGTGAAGGTAAAAAATCTTGTGCGTAGAAGACGATTTAAAAGAATAAGCGTGCAGGGAACGGTACCCGAGAACTACATTTGCACGGACAGATTTTTAAGACCTAATTTTTGCTCGGGGAACGCAGACGAAACTCTAGTCTGGGCTGAAGGGCACGCCTAGTCACAGCACCATAAATTGCTAGGTTGGGTTATGCGTCATTAAGGGGGCTTGGAAGGTGTGAAATCCTGTATATTTAGCCGAAAGGTGGGTTGGATTCCTTAGTTTTTAGAATTTTGGCACATCTTTACCATTAGTTATACTTTTCTTTTAAAACTATAGAACCTTGACATCTAATAGATTTTATGCTAATCATTGTCATTTTTACCCTTTTTGCCACAGTACTTTTACATAGTGCTATATAACCTTTGATGTCAGGCACATTGGTTTCAACTTTTGGAGTATGGTGGATGCAAAGTGAAAATCAAAAACCCATATCTGACTACATGTTTAGTTTATTCTCCACCTGACAATGTGGTAATTTGTCAGCTTATTGCTCTCTAGGATACTCGGCCACAGAGGAAAAGGTGATATTGCTATTCATAATGTCAGGCTTCTGTACGAGAACAGCCTGGGGTTTTGAAGTGGACAAAACCTGTGACACTTTGGGGTTTTTAATTGTATAGGACTATTTTATCAATATTTTGGAATTGAAAGCAGTTTTGTTTTAGATGAATTATGTAACCTTGTGAAAAAATTACATTCAAGATGCAATAACAGGGTGACTCACTTGGTTCAGTAAATGGGAACACTGAGGGGTGAACCATTTATCTTCCTCACATATTTTAGACTTCCTATAGCCAGTAATGACGGTTTTGTAACCTTGTTAAAGGTATTGTCTTCCCTTTCCATAAAATAACTTCCTAAATCAAATGGCTCTGGTTTACTGACCTCAGACACCACTTTGACCATGACTCAGACCTTTGCTACGACCCCTCACTGATACCTTCTGTCACTTAACCCATCCTGAACCATCTAGCCATTTAACTCAACCTTCAAAAGATACCCTTCCCTCAAATCTAATATCTTGACCCCATTTGCTGCACAATTGTCTCCATTTTCTACTTCCTTATTGCCCTCCCCATCACAGCGCACTCATTCCACACCACCTCTTCCTGTCTTCATCCTTCTACAATTCCCACCTCTACAACCCTTTTGAATACTTTGACCCAGCAGATTGAGATTCCCCCAACCCCATACTATGAAAAGGTCTTATTTTTCCAACAATGTCTTTGAAAATAAGTAGGTAGTCTCCTGCAGCCGTCCTGGTCGCTCACGCCTTGTTAGTTACATCAAAGTCACAAGCCTATGCAATATCTACCTTGGTTGACCTTGCGGGCAAATCTATTCATACTCAGCCCCTTAATACTTGTACAGGAAAAGTTTCAATTTTCCCAGGTTATTGCCCTGTCTATAACAAGGATTGATCACTGAAGACCTACTTAATTGCCGTACTATGATGCCGTATCAGTACAGTGCTACACTATTCCTTCCAGAGGCTGCAGTAATTTGAATTAATATTAATGTTAATATTGCCAAGATTACCTTCTGTAGACATGACCTTCCCCATAAGGTCTATATCAATGGAGGATCTTAACCATGTCGGACCATATTTACCTCATTAAGGTTAGCATTTTTGCCTTCCTTCAAAACACTGGCTCTATGGCCTGATGCCCTCTGTGCCCAACCTGGTTATGACCATTCAAATTGCCCTGCACATTTGCATGTATGTACAAATTGTGGTGGCCCACATAATGTATTTTATAAGTTACTCAGTCTACAGTTTTTAGACACTTTACAAGAAGCCAGGGAAGAAGCACACTATCAAGGTTTGTCCTTACTCCAATACTATTCAATGCCCTACTCTTCTACCCTCTACCCAAACTGTCCATCTATCTTCAACAGTACCTCTTCTCCCTACTCTTGTATTTTCCCACCCTATCTCCCAATCAAATCCATTTTCCATTCTAAATTCCGATTGACCACAACATCCTATCTTTATCTATCACATACACATCCTCTATTTCCTTAAACCTCCCTGCCCAACTCCCCTCCAGAAACCCTTGACATCCAAAACTTCCGAAGCATGACCTAGGAAAATGCTCATCTGTCAACCATCCTCTTAATTCCTACCTTCACTCCACCTACAATCAGTGACTGCCGACATGCATCCATCCTGGTATTCTTCATACCCTGCTTCCCTCTATTCCCCAACATACCTCATCCTCGCCACCACCCAAACCAAAACCACATCCTTCCCAACAACCCCTCCCATTCCCTCCTGGATACACACGTGAATCCCTTTTGTCACAATGGTCTTCCCTAGATCTCACCTTCCCTGACGAACCCCCTGATACTACATCACCTACTGATCTCTTACCTCAACCCTCAGATACCCACTCTCCTACTGTTTCTAGTAATCACCCATTGATTGATCCACAATGTCTCTTCTGTTGAACTTTAGATGCTTCAGTATTTGAACCTGATCTTCATCTCGCATCTTCCTACAACCTATCATCTGTCTCCAAGCAACTTTTCTTAACACATCCTCCAATTCCAAATTATCATTTTGTATCCTGTAGTCTATCTCCTCTATATTTATCTATCAAAGAACACCATACACTATTACATTTGTATTACAGTTGTTTCAATATACTTTTCCCCTTTCCAACACTTTCTCAACTTTCAACTTCAATCCCCTTTTCTCAGTCTTTGGTATATCACCGATTCTCAAGGCCATTCCCTGGAAAGCTTTCTAACACTGACCTTTTTCTGAACTCAAAATACCTCATCCACATTGAGAGACGCCCATACATTAGTGTAAAAAGAGATTGGCTGACCTATTTCACTCGGTTTGCTGGGTGAAGTCTCACAAATGATTACATATTGAAATAATTACATATTGATGGTTGTCCATGCACATGGCTGTAAAGAATACTTGCACAATGGGGAGACGTGGTGTCCATGTAAAAATGTGGTATTTAAGACTTGAAACCCCTAAATTATATATTTTAACATTCATTATTGTTATACCTAGATTTTTTTTATTCAAATGCTTTAGAGAAGTGTCCTACCATCCACTTGTATAATGCATGCAAACAACTATAATGGCACCTGAAAATGATATAGGCTGTTATCTTTTGCATACAAATGGACACTATTGATCCCACTTATGACGTGTAATATACGCACACAATTTTTTTTTTTTTTTTTTTTTTTTTTTTTT